TATTCCACACAGTTATTTATTGTGAAATCGTCATAATGCCGGACTGCACTTTTTAATTAATAGTTTACTTCTCACTGTACATCTTACTTTTTTTAACAATAAAGTCATTCCGGTTATTCATTAACTGCTTTCAGAAAAACTTTTGAACTAAAATAAGATATTCCATCTTTTTGCCTATAAGGTGTATTTAAAACACTATAAAAGTTATTTGTAAAGGATAATTCGACTAAATTCTTTACATATATATTTAGGTACTCCTTATTTAATATTCCTTTAATAAAAATAAGTCTGATGGAAGAATACATTAATTTAATATCCAAACTGATTATTCGATACGATGAATGCATTTTTTCCTTTAATAATCTGTTGATGAACACGTCTGTGCTTTTAATGGTATAATTTATTTGTTTATGCCGTGTTTTGATGCTTTAATTAATGTGTTTGTATTCTTTTCTTAAATGTTTAAACCTTGATAATTCTATAAAATTTTTTGTCATAGAAGAGGTAATAAATAAATTAATAATCGGCTATTAAATACATACCACTGATTCAGTTTTGTAAATTATGTCAGCCGGGTACTGATTAAAGAAATTTAAGTAATAACTTTAAAATGTTAATAGAATAAAAAAATTAAATTTTAAAATAATTTTTGCAATGAAGTTATTAATGGATACAAGACCAATTATTCAGTGTCACATAGTCACAATGCCTTTTTGTCAAAATACTCTAAAGTTTAGTAGTGTGTTGCTCCTATACATCATGCATTTCCTGTTAACAATGAAGTCATACATATCATCTATTTAATCGCTTTCAATAATATCAACAATTTTAGGATAAATTTATTTCTTTCTGCTTGGACATCGTTCTCTGCGTAATGTTCGCCTTCTGCTTCTCTGCTTAAATCTTTTTCTTTGTTTACTTCTTTTCTTGCTTCTGTTTGTTTCGATCCTTCTTCTCTTTGATCACCCCGTTCTTCTAGAACCGCTTCGTTTTAAGTTACTCGAAGAAGAATAGAATGCCTTTCCACTCTTTTCGGATGATTTTCGCCATTGGCACACACATTCAACTTCCTGAAGATCCACGTCTATTGCAAAAGAGCTGTGACTTCGTTCTCTACTTCTATTACTTGAAGAATCGTTCGATATGATCTTCCTCGGAATTCATGAAGTAGAATAACGGAATTCGAATGTCTCGAACGACATCTATAACGATGCGTTGTGTTAATTTAAAATTAAAATTTAAACGCATTTAATAACTTGTGCAATTTGAATATTTAAAAATTATGAATTTATTAAAACAAATTATACACTGGACGACAAAAAAAATAACGCACCATGAAGGACTTGTTGGATTTGAATAAAAATTGATATGTTGCATCATCTTATCTAGCTATGTAAATGATTAGCTTTTGAGAGTAGGTTCTTGTGTTATATCGCCACCAGAGGGGAAAAAATGTTTCCGCTGCCTGGTATAAAGGTGCACGCTGTGACGACTTGTGCATATTTTCTGCGCTTTTATTCATGGTTTTGACTTCATTGAGTGACAGACATGCCTCTACGANAGCATTAATCAGCTGATTGATAGAGTGGGAAGAGCATGCAACTGTGGGCATGCAGATGAAGTATACACAAAAAGTAACCATCTCTGTAGAAAAGAAATGAACTCTTCCTGCGTAAAGGTCGTACATAACACAAGTTTGTAGTGATCTGTTGTTATATAGTACACGTGTAAAATAAAATTTTTAAAATGTTAAAATGTAAGCGCCTTTCTTTTGAAGATTTTTGGCGATAAAGTGAAATATAGGGACATACATGTCCATTTATATATATAGATATATAGCTATAGATAAATTATATATTTAGTACTACAAATATTGTAAAATAAACTATTATAATTTATTTATTTAGTATTGAATACAGGTTAAAAATATTAAATATTTAATTTGCTTTTATTTAAACTGTCCTTACTCCTTAGTTATGCCGTGTATTACGTAACAAACGTAGATATTTAAATAAAGACGCACAATGTTTTTTAAAAGAAGAGAGATGATGCCAATTATTGAGGATTTCCACGTAAATAATAGAAAATAGTTACATTGAAAAATTAACAATTGATGAGAATTAAAGAGCAACGAATAAAAACCAAACGTGTTAGGCGACGCCTTATATCAGTGTTGATATTAAAACACTTTGGACGTAAATCGTAATCGAATTGGAATTAGAATCTCTCACTATATGAAATATATTAATTATTTTTGTTTCGAAGATAAAAATCATCGACAAACATGCGGCACATTTAATATTGTTTATATTCTACAGTCATTGATGATATAAACAATATTTCTTGATTTATATGGAATTAATGCACTTTTTAGACTGCAATTTGTAAAAATTGTACACCTATAAATTCCACTGTCGTATGTCCTTCCTTAATCTTCTAGAGAAAAAAGATAGATACGTGAAACTGCAAAAACAGGGTTGAAAAGCATAATGACAGAAGGTCCCAATTAACTTATATGAACTTCCAGTTTATAACGGAAATCACGTTATTCCCATTGAAACAATTTTTTCTAAACGGATGTAGATAGATGACCGGCACGAATCAATTGTTAGCAGGAAAATAATGATCTACACAATCATGACGAAAAAATAAAATCAACACCGAAATGTTAAATTAAACTGAATTATAAATAGATAATTAATAGCTAAAGCCCGGAATTATAACGTTGTCAAAATTATTAACGTCCCGACACTGCCGATACCGATATCGGTATCGATACTTGTCCTCCGGTATTAGATGTAATATCGTTACAATTTTCACAGGCAGGTAAAGTTCGGCAAAATTGGATTTTGTAGCAAAACAAGGAAACGAAATGGAATTTTATACTACTTTCTGTTAAGATAAACTTATATAAAAATACCAGAAATTATTTATTATGACATGTTTACTCTGCCGGGCTAGAGTTTTTATTTAAAAGATTAACGATTTTATGAAGAGATTTGGATAGATTCCTTTGGGCATATCCATTGGCGGATTCATCTATATAAAACGGGATTTCCCAATAAGAGTAAATTGTCTTTTTTTCTAATCGGATAAATATACGTCAGGCATGAATGATATTAATAAAATGTCTTTATTTTCAGATATTTAGTGCTCTTCATTCGATATTATTGTAAACTCAAGCATGAGTATACAAGATTCCGATAGTTACTGAAGAGCTTAGTTTAAACACGGCGTATGTTTTACTGAGTAATTGAGTAAAATTTAAAAAGTAGATTCGAGCAACACGAATAAAACGTAAGAAAAAAGAAAGAAAACACGGTTTTATAAGCACGGTTTTATGGTGTTAAAAAGGCCCTCTTAATGCATTTAAAACATAAATAAATTATATATATATACTCATAATTCATTGATACTCTTATTTTTAAAACACAGATTTTTTTAATTAGATGAAGATAGACAGTTTTGCCCAATGGATATAGTTGAAAATTCTATATATTTTCTTGGTTTAAGAACTCCATGTATTACAGACATGCTTCAAAATTCAACATTTTACCGTTATTCATCTAGAGAAAATTCCACGACATTTGATATACTTCTTCGCAGAATAAAACAAAACATAAAAAATATTGGAAAGAACAATTTTATAATGTCTGAAAATATAGACGGTCACAGAGGAGAGGAAGACGTAGATTCTTTGCTTAAATTTATAAATTTCTCCGGTCATACGGTTAAAACTAAACAAACCAACGGAACAACTGCTGATAAGATTTGCAGCTTAGCAGGTAAACATTCAATGGATAACGAAGTTTGTAGAAAGAAAGAAGGCCATCCCAGTAAATACAAAATGAAAACTTCTAAGAATTGTAATAAAAAAAATCAAATCTTAAAGAATCCAAGAAGAAAACTAAAATTCGTTATGATAACAGAACACAAGAGAATACAACAGAAAAATTCGTACAGGTAGTATCAATGCCTGAAGAAGGTGGATCTAATCAGCATTTTACAGTTTCAAAGAGTAATCATGCTACAGAAAGTAGAATCTCACCTGAAAATTGCGAATTTCCTGGACAAGAAAAGTTAGAAGACAATGAATTTAGAGTTGTATTGAAAAAGCATTGTAAGCGTTATCCATTAAAGAAAACGAATGCAAACAGATATTATAATGGTACTTCAGCTGCAGCATATAAGAACAGAAATCAACATCGCAGTCATTATGCAAGACCTAAAGAAACTAGTGTTGTTTCATCATCTGTAGATGATCTCGATTTACATTATGCTCATTGTTCGTCCGTTAGTGGATGTTTATCTTTTCGAACATGCTCGAATCCCGATTCGTCATTGCAACTATCATATGCTGATATTACTGGTAAGTCTATTGCTCCAGCTTCAAAAGTGTATTGTAGCAATTTATATAGAGGAATATTTTATTCGAGCATCGATAAGAATAAACATGCAGTTACTTTCTTACACGAAAATTCAGAAAATGATAAGAATCAATTTGTAAATCATAAAGAACCATTAGAAGTAGTTCCATCAAAATCTAAAATTGATTATGACAATTGTAAATTATCTGTTAATATGCAACCAGAAGTGATTTCAAATCACGAACAATGCATAAATTTCGATACATCATCGGGTTTAAAAATAGACGATTCAATGTTAAAAACCGATGAAAATCTGCCATTTACAATATAGATATAGACAATACACTCTATTCAAAATCGAAATTAATTGTCAATAATCCTGAAAATAATAATTGTCACGCAGAAAAATCATGTATTCGTGAAAGAAAAAAGAATGCACCAGTCATTATAATGGATAATTATCTGCCAACAAAAAAAATTTGTGATGTCAGTTTTGGCATAGACTCGGATGAATTATTACACGTTATTAATGGTAAATGTACCAAAGAACAAGCTAAACAAGATATCAATCTTTATATCTCTTCTGTCAAATCACAAGAGAATAAACGTGAGAAATCATTAGAATTTTCATCTTCTTCAGTAACAGGTACTATTGAAGAAATTGAGAAAGATAATGGGCAGAAATCTGATAGGTACTCCAGCTCATCGTCAATTGTATCTTTATTTAATGATACTCTTGAAAAGGATAAAAATATTGCATGTACCCCTGAGAGTAAGCTAGTGTTATTGAAATCTGGACAGCTTCTACATTGGAAAGACGTTGACACAGATAAAGAAAGTTTTAATTTTCATCACATTGTTCAATTTCTGAAAAAATGTGAGTAAAATTTATTTTAATTACTATTGTATCCAGTAAATGAATTATAGCTTTATTGGTGTATACAGGGTGGCCATAATTAGTTTACTTATTCTGTAACCAGTAAGCAGATTGGCATCAAATTTTGTGAACAGACTATGCAAAAATTGATTTAAAAACATTCGCTTTACAGAATAAATACATAAAACAAAAGAACAAAAACAGCCACGGATAAAAGCACGGTAACGCTTTTATTCGTGGCGCAAGGAACACACCTTCTGCTGTTTACTGAACTAAGGAAAGTTGATCAATATGTGCATCATTGTTCAGATGTAAAATTTGAAGGTGATGAACAGACAATTAATAGTTGACTCTATTCGTAATTGTCTTAAAATAACAGATTGAAATGTTACTTTAGAGTTGATCTTCGGTTTTCATTTTTTACAGTGTTTTGTTTCGTATACTTTCTTGTAAAGTTTCATCTATCAGAACTTTCTAATTTAACTGTTTTTTGCTTCGTAGCACGCATAGTCCATGTACAAATTTTGGTGTCAAACCAGTTATTGTTTACAGGTACACAGTGTTCTGAACAAGAAAACTTTAATTATAACAACTCTATATTTACTAATTATCTTTAATTTATATTATTCAATGCGAATTCTTGGCATGAAACTGAGTGTAATTGATAATGTCAATTGATGAGGGGTGATACTTCTGCAGAAATTACTTTTGTTTCCCCAAGTGGGAAATCCATAGTGGATTATATTATTTGTTTAGAAGAAATGATAAATTGTTGTAATTATTTAAACGTTCTGGACAACGACCTTGCAGATCACTTTCCAGTTCAGTTGGAGTTAATAAAATATCAAAAAATAAGTAATAAGCCATATAATTGTGAACAGAGATACCCTATTAATCTGGAATTAAGACCGTCATATAATAAACGAAAATTGTTAAATGAGTTTGATTAAATGATTGAGGAGATGTTAACCTTGAAAAAAGAAAATAATCCAATAGAATATTACCTATTACCTGAATATTATAACTAAACTAGAGGAATATAGATACAAGAATTGTACACAACAAAATAGAAAAATATTTAAATGTGAATTGTATAATAGCACGTGTTATGACTACAAAATTAAAAAACAAAAGAGTTTACAAGTCTTTAGTAGAACAAACACCAGTAAAGCACTAATGAATTATCTAAAGTATAAAAAAATGTATAATAGTTTAATCAAAGCTAAGAAAAAATTATTCTTTTCAAAAATCAGCAAGAAATTATTAGAAGCTAAAGATTCGAGAGTCTTCTGGAAAATAATTAATAATTTTCGTAAAAGAAAGCCACGGTGGGATATACAAACTAAAGTAAAATATAATGATTGGCTTAAATACTACAATAAATTCTCAGAAAATTATCAGAAAAATGTCTGTAAAAAATATTTGGGAACCAAGATAAGACCAGAAATGCAGCAGGACGAGATAATTAAGATAGAAGAAATACAGGACTGTATCAAAAAACTTAAAGACAAATCAACACCGGGATCGGATACAATACGTAATTCACTCATTAAAATGTTACCAACAAAATTTATTCGATATTTAAGTAGACAATTTAACCTATTTTATAGTAATAGTATAATACCATCCAAATGGAACGATATAATTTTCACTATGATATTGAAACAAGGGAATAAACAGGAACCAACCAATTACAGACCAATAGCCCTTCTGTCTTGTCTACGGAAAATATTTACTACAATATTAGCTAATAAATTTAATTACTGGACAGCGGCGAATAATTATAGAAATAGTACGCAATTTGCATTTGTAGAAGGGGGTGGTACTCAAACAGCCCTCTTTGTCTTGCTGTCATTAATTCAATTTCAGTTTCTTAAAAAAAGACATAAAGTGTTCGCTCTGTTTTTTGATCTCGAAAAAGCATATGATATGACTAGCATTACTGACCTACAGAGTAAAATGAAGAAATGCGAGGCAAAAGAACGTTTGATAAATATGATAGGGTTGCTGTTCGGAAAATATAAGACAATTATTAAACAGAATACCAANGGATAATGGACAGAAATCTGATAGGTACTCCAGCTCATCGTCAATTGTATCTTTATTTAAAGATAATCTTGAAAAGGATGGAAATATTGCATGTACTCCTGAGAGTAAGCTAGTGATAAAATTGAAATCTGGACAGCTTCTGCATTGGAAAGACGTTGACACAAATAAAGAAAGTTTCAATTTTTATCACATTGTTCAATTTTTGAAAAAATGTGAGTATAAAATTTATTTTAATTACCATTGTATCTAGTAAATGAATTATAGCTATATTGGTGTATACAGGATGGCCATAATTAGTTTCCTTATTCACAGCACTGAATCTGTAACCAGTAAGCAGATTGGCATCAAAATTTGTGCACAGACTATGCAAAAATTAATTGAAAAACATTCGCTTTACAGAATAAATACATAAAAAAATAAACAACTACAGCACGAAAACGCTTTTATTCGTGAAGCAAGGGACATACCTTCCGCTGTTTACTAAACTAATGAAAGTTAATCAACGTGTGCCTCATTGTTCAGATGTAAAATTTGAAGGTGATGAACAGACAATTAATAATTGACTGTATTCGTAATTGTCTTAAAATAACAGACTTAAATGTTACTTTAAAGTTGATCTTCAGTTTTCATTTTATACAGTGTTTTGTTTCGTATACTTTCTTGTAAAGTTTCATCTAGCAGAACTTTCTAATTTAACTCTTTTTTGCTTCCTAGAACGCATAGTCCATGTACAAATTTTGGTGTCAAACCAATTATTGTTTACATGTACAGAGTGCTCTGAATAAGAAAACTTTAATTATAACAACTCTGTATTTACTAATAATATTTATTTACATTATTCAATGCGAATTCTTGGCATGAAACTAAGTGTAATTGATAATGTCACACAAACATGTATATCACGCTGGAAACAAGTAGAAAAAGTTTGACGTTGAGTATTTTTTGTGGGTGATATGTCTCAAATGTCTTCTTCACTAACCAGCCATTAAGAGCCTGGCCGAATCTACGATAAAAGTAAAAGAAAGTCCATCAATCTGTTTTAACTGTATGAAAATTTCTTATATGCTTTATTTATTATATGAGAATTTACTGAAAAATTAATTCGAGATTTTTTTTCGGAATTTTTCATTAACGCTTTATCTTCTACGCAAAAAGAGCAATTGCTTCAGGCCTACACTAACAGATGGGCGAAAACTAATATTTTTTTAACTTATTACTGTAGAAAAAGTATCGAAATTTAAATTTGGGACATATCTAGGGACTCTAGATACCAGCGTGGTGTAAGCGCAGAGTATACTGGACCAACACACTAGGATATTAGGGAATTTCTCTCAAAAATTTCCCCCGAAGTGAAATGTTTGAAGTCAACACTGTATACAGGAACCCTTAATTCAAATTTAACTGGGCCCCATAAAGCTATAAGGCGCTACTGAAATTTATTTTAGTATAATATAAAATTGTAATAAATTGCTGTATTTTTTCTTCCAAATTTTTTTACAGATTATGTTAAATGTTTTTTTTACAGCTTGGGAAATTCAACAGAATTGATGAAAAATACAAGTAAAGATTTCATGAAAATTTATTAATTTTATGATTAATATGAATATATCCTTGCAAGTTTTACAAAATAAAATAAAAATTTCACTTAAAAACTGAATAAATTTATCTGTTTAACATAGATTATTTCCTCTAATTTAAGTATTTTTAGTATTTTAAGTGCTTTTGAGGGTAGTTAGCCTTCATGCAAATGGCTTGACTTTAATTTGCAAAAGGCTTGACTTCATTGCAAAAGGATTGACTTTAATTTTTAGGAAAAAGTTATAATTAAACGGTACAAAATAATCTCAAAATTCATGTGTATAATAGAAAAATTTCTTATGTAAAAAGATAATCACAATTCAAATACTTTTAAGATGTAACGTTCATCTTTAGGAAAACAAATGAATGTTTTGCGAATCACTGTAGTAGCGTAACAACAACTTATTATACCAAGAAACGTGAATTGGATTGTTAGAAGCGATCTGCCAACGGAAAGAAGTGCCTCCTACAAGGAATTTCCATAAAAAAAACTAGCCATTATTTATGTGAAATTTTTACTTTCCCTCCTTTATTATGAGTTTGGCTAGGCCCACAATGGGGAGATTGGATGAAGAATGGGTTTACCTCTGGAAAAATTCTTGTGTTTTCGACTTGTCCGGATTGTTTCCGGCCTCCAGATTGGTATAATAACACTTGCACCACTCGGTTTTCTAGTTTTTTTTTCGGGTTTTTTTTCCCATGATTAACGACCAATATTACACACGGGAAACAATACCCGCTAGTTGATGCGAATCTTTGACAAACAACCAGGGTTTAGTGGTTCGTTCTTCGGCTATGAGCGAGAACTTCTTAAAAACTATGAAATACACTGAGAATAATTATAAATTAAGATTAAAATTTTTAGATAAAAAGCAACATTTTTGTTTCTTAATTCTACGAGTAATTTAAATAATTATTATGGAACAAACGTTAGGTTTTATTAATAATACAGCATGCAAAACATCGGTCATCTGCTGAGGGAGAATGACTCCAGGGAGGCTATTTATGGGAAACTCACTCCTATTTAGGTTTACTAAGGAAAAACTCGACTTGGCCAGTCCATTGTCCAGGCGCAGACCCACAACCAGTATTCAATGATTTTATGCACGTCACTACTGGTGATCTTGTAAAACAAAGAAAAAACTCGTTATATTTTGCTCTATTGTTACTATTTTCAAGTATCAAACCATAAAAATTAATTGAATTTTATACAATTCATTTTCCTTTAGAGCTTAAAATTTTACATAAAATTGTTGATTTTGATTCGCGATTAATTCTGAAATTTACGAATTTATTTTAAAAAATGTTTTTTTCAATGTCTTTCCTTTAGTAAAAAGAATTACAGCAACGATTTGCGTAACTTTCGCGACTATTATAAGATTTTATTTTAAAAAATAGCTTTTATATTATTAATCATAACAGATAAATAAAAGCGTGTGTGACGCCATCTGTTATGATATATTCTTATAAAAGGACTTTTTAGTTTATTAACTGAAACAACATTTAGGGTAAAATGNCCAAAACTACACATCGCACGTGAATGGTGTTTGTATGTGGTAGTAGCCCCAAGTCTCCATTCGTGCATAGGGGTGGTTGCGTCTCGATAGCTATAAGGATGCGGGAGATATGGGCTTGAAAGTGGTTGAAAGTGGCTTTCTATTTCGAATGTTTTGTTCGAATTTGTTCGAATTAAATTCGAACTAATATTCGAATTTTATATTCGAATATTGGTTCGATTATAGAACGATTGTAAACGTTCCAGAAACGTTGAAAATAGTTCGTTTGACTAAACGTAAAAATTCTCTAATTAGTCTGGAAACGGGCGACCTAATTCTTGCATTCTGTGAAAACGGGTAAGATTAGCTATAATGTAATTATCTTAATCTTCACTATAGTTACTTTTTGCCCAGCGAAGCGGGTCCTTGCAGCTAGTATATATATATATATATGTCTATTTATTTAGACTAAATGTTAAATATAAGGTAGACATATGTGACAGTTCCGAAGAAGCTGCTGTTGACCAGGATTAATGGCACGTTCCTGTAATCTAGCTACTGCAGGCCGGAACTGGAGAACGGCTCGAGGAAGAAAGAACACCTTCTCGTCGTTCTATGTCCACACTGAGGATCATGTAATATGATAATTAAGGGAAACTGGGGCTACCAGGTCGCCTAAAGACGAACGAACCGGCCCAGGGTTGAAACGCAGCAGGCAAACGCTCCCGCGTGTTGCAGTACTGTAGTAGGATGACATCTGTGAATAAGCGGCGTGTTCGGTCTCTTCCGATACGATCGGACCTGTACCTGGATTCACAAATACCTTGTATTGTAACTTACAACGAAATTCATCGTAAGTTGCCAGAGGCAAACAAACTTTTATTCACAAAGCACATCGTAAGCTATGTTATTGTAAAAATTCTCTGTTTTTTAATTTACGGCGAAGCTCAGTGTAATAAAATGGCTGTCTGTTTTCTCTAATCAAGAGCGTTTTGCAAAGGTTAAGATGAATCTACTTATATTTTTTTTAACAAAAACCTTGCAATACAAATAAAAAAACAAAACGTGAATTTATTGTCATTTGAACGAAAACCGGAAAATGACGTCACTGAAGTTTAAACGTTTGTAATTTCTTAATAAAAAAATTATTAGAAAAATATTACCGAAAATTCTTATCATAGTTTTGCTGAAAGAATTTGTCGTATAAGTTCGTTACAGGAATTTTAAGATGTTACACCTTGCATAACAATTTTCAAAAAGTAATTGGGCTATAATGACACTACTGTATTAGACATGTGAAAAAATTTGAAAAACAGCACGTAGTCAGCCGTTGGTAGGGCTCAAACCCGCGCCAATTACTAATGTTCGACGATTTTTTCTAGTAGATCACTTGTTGATTCCTAAAAGCAAGTAAGAGATTCATACTCCACGTTGTTTGCATTTATTGAAAAAAAATTTTAATAAAATAAACATAAAATAGCAAAATAATGTAATTTTTCACTTACTGATTTAGTAATTTCTCCTTTTGAGAGAACATCCAAAATTAAACTCGCCGAAAATATTAATCCAAGTGCGAAAAAGATTTTCTTGTTGTAAATATCTTGAAAATAGATAATGTAATACAAACAACATGATAAACAATGCATAAAGCACAAAGTAATGGCTGTAAACGTGTTTTCGTACACATTTTGAAATACATCTATAGTATTACATAATTCTGTAAATTTCTCTTTATCTGAAGATATTGTTATTTTTATTGATTTTTCGCCATTTTTTCAAGTTTATAAATCATCGTAAATGCGTTCGAATCGTTTCAGTAAGAAATACTGAAATAAAACTACACATGAAAACCACACAGCCCAAATACAATAACCCACATTAAAATTATTACATAAGAAATGCTGCATACTATATAATTTGTTTCATTTTTTTGGCATCGGAGCTGTCAAAATAGATATTCCCAATACACATCATGAAACGACACTCGCAACAATAATAGAAATAATTGTCCATTTATATAACTTATTTCTGAATTTCATTAGAGTTTTAAAGCGTTCAGCTCGATCTGATCAAGAATATTATGAAGGGAAAAACCCCTTCATAATATTTTTGATCAGATCGAGCTGAACGCTTTTCGCCTAAGTATGCAATTTTTAAACAGGTAGCTACAAGCATTAACAATCTTATCAATAATGCTTTAGAAACGATTACAGTAAGTTTTATTATCTGCTAAATTATAAACGAAACCGGCGCACAATTTGGTACAAATAATTATATCAGCAGTTGGAAGCATAATCGCCCCAATAGCGAGGACCCACCACATCTATATACAGTATATAAAAATGAATGTATGTGTGTCTGTCTGTGTGTGTGTCCTTCATGCAATTACCACACCGTTTATCCGATTGTCGTGAAACTTTGGGAAGTTGTTTAATATACTCCAGCGAAGGTTTGTGACATAGTACGATTGCCATGAAGCTTTGGAAAGTTTTTTAATTTTTTAATACACTCCCGCGAAGTACATTTATCCTACGTTAGATGGCGCGCGTTTACACGAGCATTCGCGCACAGTGTGTTCGATCGATTTCAAATTGTGAAGACCATTTCCCCCCTTCAAAAAATATCTCTATATATGCATTTGTGAACTGTTATTTACGATATTTGTAATAATTTTTGTTTAATCACTTTATTTCGACTTTTTTTGCTAATTATGTTTTCGCTCGAACTTCGTTAAAATCTTAACTGTACCCCGAACAACGACCGAAGTTGTAGGAAGAAATTCGCCTATTTTACCGATCTAGGTATCGCCCTTTTTCAAATTTTAATATCGACTCGAAATAATTTAAAAAGACAAATTACAATAAAACGGTTTATTATCTAACTATCAGAAATTTCCCAACATGCCAAGGAAGAGAGGAAGGAGCAATTAAATAATTAAAATTATAAAGGATTTAAAAATATATATATAAATGGGGAATATCGCGCTTTTGACAATCGCTGCAAGTGTGTGGGCTAAATTTGGAGAATCCGTGCTTCTCGCATGGACAACTGTATGTGGCCAGCTCACGCGTCGGAAAACCTTCCGAATTATTCGTGTACGCACCAGACGAAAAAACAAAAAATATCGTGTATCCACGAGCACTCCAATAAATAAATAGAATTGAAACAACACTTTGAAATGTTTTCCCGATGAAAACGAATAATAATAATAAGTTTCAATAAAAATGATAAAATGTAAATTTAATTTTATCATAACGAGTTTGCTTGAATTTCGTTTCTTCTGAGATCGCAGCAATGCGCGACGGGTAAGCTAGTTATCAAGATAAAAGCGCTATAAACGCGATAGAATATACTTTCTGCTTTATCGATTTTACATCGTTGTATTATCCAAATATTCTCAGAATAAAAGCGAATGGTCTGTCGTAACAATTGAGACAAATTCCAGATTTTTCCATTGATCTTTAATTCCCTGTAAATAAATGCATATATATTTAAATGAATATAGATGTCTGGCAATGAAAATACAATATATAGTTCTCAATATACACGCCATTTCGTTTACTATTATAAAAGTGCCACTTA